GTCCTACGGAGTCTGTGTGGGTGCACGCTGCTGCATTGACTTGCCTTGTGTCTCTCCTCTTCTCCCAGCTGAAGATCTGCTACTGCGCATGCGCCCGCCCCATGATCCTTTGCAGCGGCCTGAGAATCTTCAGATCTTCCCACGGGAGCGCGCGGCAGAGACACAGGTAAGCTTAAAAGGTGAACTATGAGGTGAGTGATTTTCACTCAACCTCATAGCTCGAGCCGGCATGTGACAATGAAACCGTCACACGTCGGCGTAATAGATCGGGAAGTGAGCAAACACATACCGTCGCTCGCTCACTTCTCAATCATGTCCCTGCAGAGCGCCGTGACTGTTACTCACGGCTCCCTGCAGGGATTCCCCCTCCCCTCTTAGATTCTCCAGCGCTGACCGGCGGAATGGACGGGGGGCGGGTACAGCTGGCTCTAGATAGGCAGAGCCAGCTGCCAGCCTCTAGATAGGCAGAGCCGGCTGTCAAACAGCTAGGTGGATCTCAACAGTAATGTCGGGATCCGTCCCAGCTGCGGCGGTCTCAGTATACCGCGAGCTGTAGCTCGCAGTATTCTGAGTGTTGGGTCACGGGAGAACGCTAGTTTGTGTCTTTATTATCTTTATTAACTTTATTATCCGTTCCACAGGATTGAGATGGAAAGCATTCCAGTGATACTCATAGCTCTGGACTGGCCAAGGCAGATGTGGAATTCTAACCTGATCAGACTCCTTGCAGACGCTCGGTGGGCTCTTCCAGATGTTCAATTTACCTTCTTCATTGTAGTTGGCTTTTATGGCATGGCTGTTGAAGCCCTGGTCTTGAGAGAAGGGGGCCTCTCCAACTCCCCACAACATTAAAAGCCAGGAAAAGCCAAGTTCCCTCAAGATCTACCATAGCACATTGAAGGCATACTTTGCTAGGTGTGGGGAAAGAAACATTTGTCTCAGAAAATTCGGTGACACAAATCCTGACTTTTTTTTTACAATTAGACCTGGGTCAACAATTGGCCTTAAATATCATTAAGGGTAAAGCGCTCATGATCTTGTTACAAAGGCCATTAGCCACTGATCCACGCTTTTAACTTATCAGTGATAGTTCCATTTCCATGCTCACTCACAAGGTTGTTTTACTTGTTTTCATCACTTCTGCAAGGCATGTGTTTGAGGTGGCAGCTTTTCCCTGTAAAAGGGAGGGGGGAAGGTTGTACTATCCGGATGTTTCCAGACCTCGTCAAGAAAGTTATCAAATAGTGAGTGATTAGGAAACACCTTAGCACAGCTTGTAATAGCCGACACAGTTGCGTTAGAATTCTGTGTCCCTCAATGGGCAATAGAAAAAAAAAAAGATTTTTGGAATATAAAAAAAACAAACAAATGTAAAATCACTTATTTAGTTCCATGTAGTTCAGCTTTAGGTAGTGAATACAACACAAGTGATCATTACAAAACTAGTTCAGTGATTTTTGACAGTCCACATACTGACACCATCACATACCTCAAGAAGAGTAGTTATGTTTGACACGCTGTCACTTTGCACATGCAGGTCAAGGTGACCAAGTCTCTGAAAAAAGACATCCCTTGATTCCAATATAACTGTCTTCAATGCATTCCCATGCAGCTCCTTGTGTCTCTGTAGCCAGCACTAGGATCAGCAACCTGGGGAAGCAGTGACCTCACTTCCACAGGCATGCGACAGTGCTCATGCATAGCGACTGACTGCTATGCCTGGACACTGTCATATGGAAGCAGGTCACATACTCAAACATGCACAGAAGTACGGAGTAGTGTTACTAACTGTAAACTAGCAAGGAGTTGTGAGGGAGTGCAAGTATATCGGGGTATGGGGGATGCCCTTTGCACTGTCACCTTGCCCATGCAAACACACAGATGACTACTTTTCTTGATGTACTGTATGTGGTATTGTCAGTATTTGGATTGATACTCTAATTTTGTCGTCATTAACTATCTTATTGTGTTCCTGCCTAAAGCAGAAAAACATGCAACTAAATAGGTGATTATTTCAAAACAAAATTTTTTAAAATCTATATTTTTGAAAGTCTCTTTTGAAATGGGTAAAAAAAAACAAACTGCAAGTCGACACGGAGACTAAGCTTTTGATTGATCTGTACTCAAGCTACATTAACGGTGTAATATAAATCTTCCACTTTCTTTCTAAAAATTGTATACATCACCCTCTAGCTGCCAAAACAAAAAGCAATATATGTGATGTCATTACTTTGGGTGCAGCTTGGCACAGGCAGAAGAGGGGTTGAGAGTGTTAGGAGCCTCAGCATAGTTGGGATAGTAACAGATGGAATACTTTACTAGACTATATATTATTTGTGCACAAATATCGTTTGGTATAGTTTGAAAATACTGTTTAGCGCTACACTGATTTTGCATTTGATACAATAAGGCTGTGATGAATTCAATTATACCCAGGCAAAGGTGAATGCATCTACCATAGGCAGAATGGGTCTAAGGCCAATAGCACCAGAACAACACTGGCAGGCATGTATGTTTCCACAGAAAATATTTTCTTTTTACTTTATCTGCAAAAGGTGCACCCTCATATACCTTCTATACCCTTGGTTCTCAACTGGTGGGTCGTGACCCAAAAGTGGGTCGCGACCCAGTGTTCAGTGGGTCGCCGCATGCCTTCCACTTTTTAGGCGAGAGGCTCCTCAGCCTCCCCCTAGGGCAGCACAGTGGGCTTGGGCTATGGCCGCCAGGGAGTGCCATTCATATGTACCGTGCTTGCAGCTCCCTTGCATGCCCTGTAGAGGTGCCTGGACCTGACTGACATCACATTCTGGCTCCGTCACAGCAGCCCACACTGGACCCCAGGCTCAGGATCCACTCCAGTTCTCATAAGACTGGGTGGATCTTAAAAAAAAATAAAAACATTTTTTGGAGTGCGTGTGAGAATGACTGCGAGTGTGAGAGATTGTGTCTGTATGTATGTCAGTGTTTTTGAGGGTCCCTTCACACTACTACCGTGTTTCCCCGAAAATAAGACACTGTCTTATTATTTGAATGGTACCCCAAACGCACCTCCCACCCACAGTTCGTACGCCCGCACCGGAACGCGCAGTACCCTAATGCCGCACGTTCCATTGCAGTGCGACTTGGGTCGCGACTTATTGAGCAAGTACAAATGTGGGTCCTGAGATAACACAGGTCGAGAACCACTGATCTATACCATCTTTGGCCTGTCTAGGTGAGACGTTTATAGCATGTGAGAGAGTGTTATATATGCGCTCACTATATTTTACCAGTGATGAACTGAAGAGATTACAATGGCACACATGTTCCCTATATGTGAAAATACTGAAGTAAAATGATCTTACCGGACATGTTAAAAATTAATTTAAAGCACAAGTAAAGGCTTGTGTATGACAGGCTAAACAAGTATCAAATACACTTACTATGTGAGGCACTAGTCTCAAAGTAAACATAAAACTTCCTTTTCAATGTCCCCTCTTTCTTCTTGATAAACTTCCTCCCCACACCAAACCCTTGTTTATCTGTGTCTCACATGCTCCCCCTCCAGACACTGCAATTCAAACTGAAAGGGTTTCAGCAACAGAAGCAGTGCTCTCAATCTATTAAACAGTGGGCAGGACTAGGTGTGACAAGGTCCCGATTGGCAAGCTACAGGCTTGTTCACCAGTAGTGACAATGCTGACAATCATGCCCTCCACAACATTATTTTTAATCGCATTATAGTGCAAGCAGGCACGGCCTACACAAGAGTCATTACTCTGCTCTGAATTTAGGAGCAGTGCAACATCATTAATATGACAATCTGTGTTTAAAGGAAGTAATCTGAATCAATTGACTAAGCTGCTATGTAAAAGGAGCTGGAGGCTCCTAAGGCTAAAGAATAAATAAATTAACACAGCGCTAAGTGTTAACTAAATAAATAAAAAAAGTGTCTCCCTACTTCTTAAATTAAACATCAACTATTCAGTAGGTAACATAAATATGAATGGTGATGTCAAACTAAAGTGAAATAAATGATACCAATTAGGTAGTGAGAACAACTAAATAAATCATACACACTAAATGCCGCATCTAAAAGCAGCAGCTAAATCGCAACATTATCGCCAAACATGGAACTAAAATAACTTCCTTTGAAATGTGGCAATCCAGAATAAATAGTGACAAACCAAAAAGTTACAAAATGTCTAGTTGAAAGTCTCATATGCAATCAATAGATGCAATCCAAAAAATGTGCTCCGGTGAATAGTGAAAGATGTGATGCTCAAGTGAAAAGAATCGATTCCCCTCTTCGAGTAACAAAAAACCCCTAAGGGTATGCACTCACCAGATGAAGTGATTAAAGACCGCTCAATAGAAAATCCTCTCCTACAAAACCCGATCTCATCCACAATGCCTGTCAGCTCACCTGCCTTCCGTCGGACACAGCACCAGACATCCGATAAGCCGGAAAACCTTTCCACAAAACAGCTCGGCAGTTCCCTGTAAAGCGGTATCCCTCGACAGACTGCAACACCACCAATCACTCCAATGGACCTGCGGCTCGCTGTATAGCGGTGTTTCCTGACGTAGGCTCCAGTACCGCCGATCTCTCCCACTCTCATTCAATATTCAAAAGAAGAAATCTACATAGTGTAGTAAATCAATATTGCATTAAAAATAGTAAAACTTGTAAAAACACGAAAACCGGCCGGTCAAAACCAAATCGAATCCTTTAGTTATGTTACCTACTGAATATTTGATGTTTAATTGAAGTAGGGAAACACTTTATTTATTTTGTTAACACTTAGCGCTGTGTTCATTTATTTATTCTTTAGTGCAACATCATTGCCACACCATCATAGAAAGCTGCATAAGGTGGACTTCACTGGCAGTTATTCATGGGAAAACTAAGTGCAGGTGGAAGGCTATAGTTCTACTTTAACATGCATGTTTGATTAGCCTTTATTTAATGAAATGTACAAATTTTAGTTTAGATCCTGTATAGGAGGAGTTCCACTTACCTGCACTGGTTGATCCTATGCCTGCAGTCAAAACGGATCTTGGCGTTATCTTTACTGCATATTTTAAAAACTGTGATTTACCCGTGCCAGGGTCTCCAACTAACAAAAGATGGGATTCCCCTTAAAAAAAAACAAAAAACGTAGTCAACAATTAGTAAATAGCGTTAAATTAAAAAAAAGACACAAAAACTTAGGCTGGCCATAGAACAATTTTTTGATCTGACAAACATTTTACTAAATGTATGAAGGACAGTCAAAAATCAGAGCCACAGAAAAAGCAATAATGTCACCAGCACACCAAAAAGAGATTAGCAAAAGTTGGGGAAAAGCCTTAACCCCATAGCTCTCCTTTAATGACAAATTGCCATTCAATACAAGCGCTTTCGGGCCTCAAGGGGTCCCCTTCACCAGGCTCGTCATTCTGAGCCTGATGAAGGGGACCCCTTGAGGCCCAGAAAGAGGTGCAGTCCGTGGTCACTACAAGCACCCACCTGTTTTTACGGGTTTACTAATGTTCCGGTAAGGAGTGCAGCAAGGCTTTTAATTCAAAAATCAGAACCAGTCTCAAAAACGCAAATGATCACCATCTGATTATCTAACAATCATCTTGGATGTGCACATCCAAGATGATTAAAAGGAGCGAACCGAGAAAGGGAACTTTCCTCAAAGTGACAATTCTTCATTTTTGTCACATTTTGCACCTTTTCAAATCAGTCTGAATAATTTGAATTCATTTTTACACGGCTCATCAATTTCACAATTTTTATGAACTGTAGAAAAAATGGTGAAAATTAGCCATGAAATAAAAATGTTTTTCTTTTTTGCTACACTTCATAAATAGCCTCCAAAATGCTTCTTCACATGAGCATTGAGAACAAGCATTTGATTTGAGCTAATTAACCTTTTCAAATGGACTGTAAAAACAGTGGCTATTCTTTAGCATGAAATGGCCCAGTACACCCATTAAACTAACATCACTTTGTTTCATGTCTTTATGTTATCTGCAATGTTTGGCAGGCGTTGCCAACTTCCAAATCAAGTTAATGAAATTCTACCCAATGCTACTCGAATGGCATTCAGGAAGCTTTTGTCTAAAACGCAACCCTGCCTATCTGTGCCCATGGAGGAATAAATCCTACTATGAAAACATCCCATAAATTCCCCAAGAGATGATATAAGAGACTTGCAGCAGCTATTTCATGTATTTCCAGCACACCATGGCTGCATTTATCCAAGTTATGCCAGGGGTGTGTTAATTTAAAAAAATAAATAAATACTTGTCCAAAGACTAAAGCAGGGGCGCAATCTACTTGTCCCTCATGGAAATCTACTTGTCCCGATACGGTTTTGGTAAATTTTTTTTCTTTTTTTGTATTTAGCAGTCCTAAGAAGAGCTTCTCATTGGTCAGTGCCGTCAGGGAACTGCGCGGACCGAGTGCTTGCATTTTGCGAGCAAAATTCAGAATACATGGCACAAGTACAGATAGTACACCCGTACTGGCAGATGGGAAGGACTGTTCGCTGAAAGGTAAGTATAGTGAATTTTTCCCTTTGGGGTGGGCGCAGACTTGGGCAACCGTGTGCAGTCACCAGGCGGCCCCATTGATTTCAATCTGGTTACATCCGCGTGGTAAATCGCTGAAAAAGCATACATGTAACTTTTTTCGCGACACGCACCATGCCATGTTTTCAACCGCGATTATGTGCGATTGCACAGGCGGTATTGCGGCGGGAAACTGCACAATCTGCCTGGCGCGACTGAGGTGCCATTAGACAATAATGGCCCTGCCAGCGCTATCGGCGGGGGTGTGCGATTCTGTGACCGCCCGGCCATCCACACGATTGCCGTGCGGTAACGGATCGCCCACTCCGTGTGCGCAGACACACACACGCATTTATTCGCATGCAGATGATAGGGGTTGGTTTTAATTTTTTAGATTTTTACTGTTTTTTTTACTTTGTAATATTTTTATCATTTATTTTTATTATTTTTTACTTTATCGCCTTTTTAGTTTTTCAATTTTTTATGTATTTACTTTTTTAATTGTTATATAATTTTATTTTTTACTTTTTTTTCCCCACTTGACTTTATTGCCATTTCACAAGGGGTAACAAGCCCCTGTGTGATAGCTTTTGGAGGCGAGAGGTTCTCTTTATTGACCCTGTCACCTCCAACACAGGAGGAGTTCTAGCACAGCACTGTGCTCGTTCTCCTGTGACAGGAAGGCTGCATTCCTGTGTCACTATTCACACGGAGCAGAGCAGAGAAGCATTCTCTGCCCTGCTCCATGCTCTCTAACAATTTGCCGTGGTCACGGATCCCCACAAGAGGGGACCACCCCGAAGACCACGGCAGAAAGGAAGCCCACGTGCAGAGAGAGGCAGCCGGGAGCGGTACACGCCGGCCATAGAGAGAGGGGAGGAAAGGAGGAGAGGGGGAGCGTGAATCGGGCAGGTTACAAGTGATTTTGGACGGCTGTTAGAACAAGTGTTACCTTTGTACTTAACCTTAGGGATGCCATTTGTGAGCACTGTTAAAATTAAACAGAAGTGTGTGCAGCACCTTTGGCTTTGAGGAATATAAAACCTTCATTTTTATCAATGGGAGACTGCATTCATGGAGAACTTTTTTGTTGTTTTAATTCTTCAGTTCCTCATTTTCTAGTAAGTGCCCACATTGCTCTCCCTCCCACCCCATGTTCGGGTGCTTCCATCAGTTAAGCAGCTGCTGTGAAGGCACTCATGCGCAGCAGTTTCACTGAGTGTGACCATAGACACACACAGGCTTGCAGCAGGCCACGCCCCTCCTCCCCGCCCAGCAGTTTTACAGACGGCAGAAGGAGCATATGGCTCCTCTGCCCCCAGAACTCGGAAGTTCAGGACAGAGGATCGCTGTGGGGATCGACAGCGGTGTGCACAGGTAAGTGTGTAAGGTACTGGGCGTTTTTTTAAGGTAAAAAATGCCCAGTCTTTAGCAATACTTTAAGGCCCATACTCTTGATTACTGTCACATGCACCCAAAATTAGTTAAACATGGCAGCCTGAGGGGAGAAATTAGCAGCCCACCATATAGGGAACACTCTTATTCCTGGTAAAATGTCGAGAATTTACAGCGCTCTAACGAACATCAGTACTGAAATGACAAACCATTGGCAGTTCCAACTTCACTCAGGGTTTTGCATAAAGCCAATGAAATTAAAAGAGAACTATGGCCCGACCTTTTTTTGCCATAGATCTCTTTAGAGTCACAGGAGGACATATACTAAAATGGTTAAAAAAAAAAATGGCAACCTACATATTTCTGCCAGTAAAGACTGTATTAAAAACCATCATGCTACATGACTGTGGTGGCAGCACTGCCATAATATGTAGCAGCTATTAGGGCAAATCCTTTTTCAGAGAACAAGTTTCTATTTTCTTGGACATTTCAAATGTAAACACACTTGTACCCTAGGGTGGCAACTTCCATCATAAACTTCTAAAGCAACTTTGAATGTGAATGCTGCTGTCAAATGTTTTAGCACTGCCATTTTTTTTAGTAGCTGCAGTTCAGGACAATCATACTACAGTAAAAGGCTGTGGGGAGACTGGTGAGCTACAACAATGCCTGGATGAAAACTGTAGTACTGAGCATGTAGGCTATGTTTCTAGGGGTCAATTTTATAAGAAAATTACAAACCTCTCACTCTGGTCCCAGCCGAATCAATCCTTTGAACACCACCAGCGAGCACCATGCCCACTGCCAGCTTTACCACAAACATGCCAAAAATCTGAGGACATAGGCTTGCTAGGATCTCATTCCTACCTGTTAAAATAATAAATATTTGTCTATTAGCAAACAAGTAAAGAGATTAAGAAAAGCAAAAAGGAACTTCAAACAAGCAAGATTTATTTTATTCACTATACAGAGAAAGCTATTCTGTACACTTTACTGTATTTATGTCAGGAAAGATAGTCTTATATTTGGTATGAGAGGTTTGTTGAACACTTTCTAGAAGATCCAGTCCAAAAAAAGGCAAGCAGCACACTATAGACTCCGCAGTCATCTGAATTTATTGCAGTAATGGTTACCCCTACTTATGGTTACCACTCCTCTGGACGTGTTTCACCCAGATAATAGGACAAGTCATGAAGGCCTCTGAAATGCTTCAGAGGACTGGATTCTGGTGGGGGTAACCATTAGCGCATATACTGTATAGAGAGAGAGAGACAAGGAAAAATTTGTTGGTACCTCACAGGTCATTAAAACAATGCTTCATTCCTGAAAAAAGTGATGAAATAAAGAAATTGTCTTATGTATACAGTACAGCGAAAGTATTCACCTCCTGGTGCATTACCACCTTTTATTAAATTGGATTTTGACTGTTTGTACCATGTTGTGTACATAACATGCTTGCCACTTTGTAGGCGTAAAATCAATCTTTGTGACAGACAAAAAACCCAGAAATCTTAAAATGTGCATAAGTATTCATCCCCTTTGCTAAATAAGATGTGGGACAACCAATTAACTTCAGGAGTCCCATAATTAGTTGATAAAGGCCCCCCTGTGTGCAATCAAAGTGTCACATGATATCAGTATAAATACAGTCGTACAATAACCTAAAAAGGATTACTATTAAATGTAAAAAGGGAGGGCAAAGAGCTGGTGAACTAAGGCAATAAGCCCTAAGGGTTAACAAGATATAAGGTACAGCGCTAAAAGCCTTTCTGACAAAATGTAACCTCAATAATGAGAGGATGCATTCACCAAGGGAATACATTCGATGTCAATCACATCTATGTTAATAATGTGTGACTTTAAATAAGTGATAACCAAATTGAAATGTGTAAAAATAAATGAAAATATTCAAGGTGTGGGAAAACACTCTAAAGATACCACTCTAAAGATACACTGTATCCAGACCTACTGCCGTTCTCACGACAAAGTGCTATAAAAATGTGTGTAAGTGAAACAATGTTGCAAACACACCACATTGATCCTAATATAACAAAGTACATACAATGTGGAAAACCAAAGTGATAAAAGGAAAATACTGTATTTTTCCATGTATAAGACAAGTAGTCTTTGACTAAAAGTATTTCATAAAAATATTTACCTAAAAATGGAGGGGCGTCTTATACACGGGGGGCCGAGAGGAGAACCGCAGTTGCAAAACTACCGATACCTCTGCAAACTAGCCTCACGAGTGAAACCTCCGATTGCAGAGACAAGCTAACAGGTTTCCTCCAATCAAGAGCCTTATGTACCCGACGTCAGCTGATGCTGCGGAGAGCCTGCAGCCAGTGCCCAGATGTAACAGGGAGCAGTAATGTCGGAGCATTCTGAGCCCATAAAATGTCAGAAAACAAAAAAAATCCCGGTCAATACCAATACCTTGATCCCCTGCTAACATGAATGGGTTAAATGATCCGTAGTACAACTACATGTTATGTACTATGGATCATTTAATCCATTCATATTAGCAGGGGAGAATTGTAACTATTACTGCAGTGTACAGGACATACGTACTGCGGATCATGATTTAACCCATTCATGTTAGTTTATATATATATATATATATATCAGGGGTGTGGACATTTTTGAAAAAACTACTTGTCCAAGGGCTAAATCTACTTGTCCTTCATAACAATCTACTTGTCCTGATAGGGATAGGGCTGCACCAATACCGGTATTTGGGTATAGAGTACAAGTAGCGATATTTTGCTTTCGGTACTCACCAAGTATCAGTGCTTCCGTTTGCATGGAGCAGGCTTCCCGGGCAATCAGGAAGCCGGGCAGCAGGTAATGAGATGCTACCCGGCTTCCTGACTGCCAGGGAAGTCGACTCCATGCTGTTTGGCCGGCTTGATTGTGAATGGCTTGGAAGCCGGTTTCCCGGCCAATCAGCATGGAGCCAGCTTCCAGCCCAATCAGGAAACCCAGCGGCGAGTAATGACCTGATTGGCCAGGAAGCCGGCTCGATGCTGATTGGCTGGAAAGCTGGCTGACGTCGTGGCGGTCATCTTCAATTTCTGGTTAAATGGAAGGGCTATGGTCCTGAAGAAAACTCCTGGGAACCTGATTGCAATGTTCACGCTCAGAAGCTGGTTCAAAAGTTTTTTCAGACTCATCTTCTCACAGCAGCCCGATTGGGCATCCGGAGGTTGCCCATTAGAGGGGGGCACTGTAAAGGCACGATTGCAAACAGCGTAAATCGCAGCAAACAGCGCACGTGCGAAAATCGCGGCAAACTGCGCACGCGCGAAAATCGCGGCAAAGCACACAGGAAGTGAGGTAGCGGTCTGTATTCCTAGGACTATATAAGGAGGAGCCAGCCTCTCTTTCATTGCTGATGGTCTTGTCAGCTTGGTGTTTGTGTCCTGTGTTCCTGTATTGTTACTTGGCCTGCCTTGACTCGGATTGCCCTGGACTACTCTTCTGCTTGCTGCCAGCCCCTGACCCCGGCCTGTTCCCTGGATTTGAGCTTGCCTTCCGATTTTGTACTTCGCCTGCCCGACCGGATTCGACCTTGGCTTACTGACCTCTCTACTCTGTTGTCTCTGCGCAGTGCTCGTTTCCAGTCTACGGCACTCGTGCTCCTCGTTGCCCTGCCCCCTTCTGTTCCCAACTCCAGGGGTCACATGACACGAAACGCAAGAGACGCCTCCCCATCTTCCAGCCTCAGGTACGTGATAGTACCACAGATTTGAGACTGGGATGGAGGTTCACCTTGCAGCAGGACTATGACCCTAAATATACTGCTAAAGCTACACTTGAGTGGTTTAAAAGGGAAACATTAAAATATCTTGGAAGGGTCCAATCGTAGCCCAGAAATACAATTCAATTGAGAATCTGTGGCAAGACTTGAAGATTGCTGTATACAAATAGAATGCCCAATTTCAGAAAGCTGGGTCAGGTACAGGTCATGGGCAAGTGGCATTCTTTAAGCGCTGATCTTATTCCTATTGCACATCTATGGAAAGAGCTGAAAAATTTAGTCTGTAGTCACTGTTCAAACCTGAGACAGCTGCTACAGTTTGCTCAAGAAAAATGTGCCGAGCTACAGAAAATCGCTAGATTGCACTGATTGCCTTTAAAGGCTGTGGAACAAAATATTTGGATAAGGGCACCATCATTTTTGTCTATGCCATTTTCAATAGTTTTTTTTTAAATATTCTGTTGCATAATATAGCAAAATCAAAGTTTGATTTTTATTAAATATGGAATGATGGATGCCAATTACATTCATCAATTTAGGCGATTTCAGAGAAAAAATTGTGAGCCCTTTTTCTCCATGGAAGGGTACAAACAAATGTGTCCTTGTCTGTATATAGAAGACTTTTAAAAGGAACAAAATAAACTTAACTGTTGAAATATAAAAGACTACATTTGTCTTTTTAGTAAGACAGTACCAAAAGCAATGGTGATATTCCAAACCAACACAATTACAATTAATCTTAACTAATTGATATATACAAAAGGAGTTTAATTCAGCATATTAATGTGATATAAGGAGAATTAAAATTAAAAAATATTATATGTTTTTTTAACAAATGTTGTGCATAAAAAAATTCTCCTCTTTGCTGCATTCAAAGCCCAGTGTTTTTTTTTCTTTACAATACAATTTTAATTGATCTGATCTTCAATGTGGCTGCTCTGGGTTAATGCAATTTTCATATTACCATTACCTTTCCACTGTCCTAAGAAATAGTTTACAGGTTTTGTCCTTTGGAAAAAGGATCTGAAAAAGTAGGTATACATGTGCTCCAAGATGGAGACTCATAGGTTAGAGTTAAGACATAGAGGTGCCTTGGCAAGGCGGCTTTCACATTTTCTGCAGAATACGTGTATCCAAAACCTCTGTTTTTAACCTTCGGTTAGACACGTTTTTTTGCATACTGGCTGGTGAGTGTGCTGGGAAACTTTTTGCTGTTGTACGTAAATCTGACACACTGCAGGGACTGAAGGTGGAAGTGTTTACGAGAGAACTTTAATGGATACCGCAAGTGATATTCACTTCTCATCTAACCCCCTCTATCTTAATTATTAAAATGGATTTGTATTTAAAGCAAACCTATACAGTAATACCTTGGTTTACAAGTAACTTGGTTTGAGAGTGTTTTGCAAGACAAGCAAACATTTCTGAAAAAAATTGCCTTGATATACAAGCAATGTTTTGCATTAAGAGCAAAATTTTGTAGAAAAGCACCACCCGAATAAGGCTGTAGCAGTGCGAGCGATGAGTCTTTTTAACGACAATGCAATGTCACATTGGATATATTCCTTGTTAAGGTTTCACGAAATGAAAAAGATTCCATTGAGCCAAGAGATAGCAGTGATTTCGTTAGTGATAGTGAAAGTCGTCCTACACAATAATCCTCCTCTCTCTCGTCCCCCTCACACCAGCCACGAAGGTACCGGTAATCGGTTTATTTTTCTTTATATTTTGTACAGTATTATATTACAGTACAGTATTGTAATGATTGTTATGTGAATATTTTTGGGTTGTGGAACAAATCATCTGAATTTCCATTATTTCCTATGGGGAAATTCGATTTGATATACAAGCGCTTTGGATTACAAGCATGCTTCCGGAATGAATTATGCTCGTAAACCAAGGTATCACTGTACTTACAAAACTTTTCTGTCTTATAGGGAATATCTAGTGAGGTGGTAGCTAAGCAGTATACTGCAGTTTCTGGCATATGACATTACCTAGACACTCTTGTCTCTGTACGGTAGGGTAAGCTCATCTAAGGCAAATCCTGCCCACTGATGACCATTATTCATAAGAAATTTTGAATGGCTTTGAGTGACACTCTGTAACATTCCTGCTTTTTTAGTGATTGTTTTCCTGAGGCCATGCAGAAGAGCAAGCTTCATCTGAGGATCTGCAGTTTGAGGATCTTGCTACCATTTCATTCATCTTAATTAAGGTAAGCAGCTGAGTTCACATTCATCCACTGTTCCTGGTTGTCTCCTCCACTCCCTCTGTGTAAAGATCTATTCCTCTTTTTCCTTTCCTGTTGCCTCGATCATTAATTGCGCGAGCATTGATTCTGTGTGAAGATCTGTGCTTCGCTCAAAAGGGGTGGCTTTGACATAAGGAGACAAAACTCCTTTGCCAAGATAACCGCTTCCTCCCCTGGACACGGTGCAAAATGAAGCATTGTAATTCATCCTGCTGCAAGGAGCATACGGTCAACACTGGCCATCAGTCCTTACACATTTTTTGGCGCACAACTTCCATAGTCTAGGAATGTTAAGGAATATAGTTGCAATGGCACAAGGCCATTTTTAAAACTCCCTTTTTCTAGGCTGGAAATGTGCTTATAAAAACTCACCTGCTAAAGGATTATACTTAAATCTTTCCCAGAATTCTCCAAATTCTTTTCGGACCTCCTCATTTATCACCACCCCGCTTGGCTGCTCATTATTCACAGCAATGTAGTTAGCTTTTAGTACAATCTCCAAGTCACAACGAGTGTCTACAAAAAGAGGCTTCCATCGCTGCATCACAACACCATATACTGTAACATCATCACCTGAAAAAAAAAAAGGCCAGCAAATGAGGTAGATATAGGTTTGCACGTTTAGTTGTTTTGACAAAAAGACTAGAAAATAGTAAGAACACTAAATGAAACCATACTGAACACATCAACCAGACAAAAACACAAAGGGTCAGTCCACCTAAAACTGGTAGACGTCAGTGAGCTGAATCAATCACTGGCTTTAGTGGCAAGGATGTCTTCCAGAGTTCCTGGCTCTGCCCACCTACTGTCCTGTTTCACACCTCCCGTTAAAGCAAAATGGGTCTTACTTATTCAAATCGGTACTTGAATATGAAATCTTCAAGGAGATCAAAAAGGAATTGGTTGGTGGCTTGAACCTCCAGGTGTCTAGCCAAAACTGAAAGATTGTCTTTGAGCAGACTGACACTATTGCACCAAATGCTAGGGACAACCTACATTTTTACAACAAACGGCTTCTTATTATTGCTTTTAAAATGGTACTTATACTCTTCCAAATAGATTTACAATTGTGAAAACAATTTTGAACCAAAAAGTCTAAATAGCTTTTACTAGTTCATTAATCAGCGCTTCTCTATGTTGCAGTTCAGTGTATACAAAAACCAATAGCCTCTCAAAATTAAAGAAGATTCTGGCTCAGGTGGAATTCTCAGGCGTCAGGGACATCTGGAAGGCTTCGACCGAAAGCTTTATCAATATTTAAACATTTGCATATAACTACTGTCTTGCAAAACTGTGGGCACATCTGGTCAAATTACATGCGTTGTCAATTTTCTCAGTGGGGAACACACAAAAACCACAACAAGAAAGAAACTTAGATGAGGCATCTTCGTGCAAATTCTAATGCACAGTGACGTTTTGTTGGCCGAACTTAATGGAGAGGGGAAAATGAAATAATAGGTAGAATGTACAATGGTTTGAACACCCATACAGTTGATCAATTAAGATAAATGTTTTTTTGGCAGAAGTCTCCCGAAGAAAAAGTAGAAAGAGAGAGTAGCCTGATCTATCGTTAATTACTCCAGGACCAGCAGCTGTTTGCTCACATGGCAGACTGGAGTGCTTCAATAATTTTTTAGGCCAGGCCACACAAAGATTTTCCAACTTGTTTCCACTCCTGGTGTAAGCATTTGGGCTTCCATCTGATTTTGCTCTGGTCTTTCTTCTTCCTGGTCCCAATCACCACCCCCCAACCCAACCCTTGGTGCAGAGAGCACAGCTGATTTGATGATGTTAGTGCCCTTCTCTGAACCATTCTACTGTGATGACACTCACTTAGAAGAGACCCCATGATGTCCTGCACTGGCAGATGCAGGGTTGAATAACCCAGAAGAGGACCAACGCTGGACTTGGGCTTTTGGAAATTGAATTAGCAAGTACTGCTGAAGCTAAAAAAGATCAGGAAGGCCAAAAAGAAAAACCTCCAACAGAGCCGTTTGTAAATTTGCCTGGTCTGATTAAAACATAACCAGCAAAGCACCTGCAAGACGGTTTTTCTGCCTTTGATCAACAAACTCTTTTCAATTAGGAAGCATACAGCATTTTAATATCCTTACTTCTCCCTGGTCTATGTAATTATATTATGTTTTAATTGCCAGGGAGTAGATGTGCTTAAAGAGGGTGTGCTAAGTGTACATCATCCTTGCCTAGACAAGAAATAAAGTGAACTGCAGCAGAAAAACCATGTAATGGGGAAGGGGAGAGGGGAGTGATACCAAGTCCTATATTTGAAGTGAAGGTCCACTTTAAGAAACATTTATATGCATGCCTGTTATTGAATGATATGGTACACTGAATGATACATTTATGCTATTTCTACTGTTTTCTAAACTTTACTATTGTCTATTCCACTACTCTTCATAACTCAAAGTTTTAGGTCCAAAAACTCACTGAAGAAGTTCTGTATGCAATAATAAAACTGAGATAAGTTTCAGTTCTGCATTAAATTCTAATTGTAGACAAGAGATCATTATGTAGTTCAGAAAAGTGGTATCTTACCAGACTTGCAGGTGTCCACCAGGTCATCTTCCAAAACCACAACCATAGATCGAGGAATACTGCCCACCGACAACCTTTGAACCTAAATCAGTGTAAATTATAAAACAAATACACATTTTATATATCACCTTTAATTTATATACTGTCCTCATTTTGATAGGTTTTACAGTAGGGCACACAGTAAACATACAGTATATTGCAAAACATGAAACAGAAAGCAAAAGATATACTTGTAATTGCTTATGATCTAATAAAAAAAATGAAAATCTTGGAGGAATGACTAGCCTTCCATGTTTCCATTAATTGTTTATGAGCACTCACCAGAAACAGACCTGCCATACAGTTAACTAGGTGAGTGCAGTTATAGTTTGTAGAAATAGAAGGGTAATCTTGGGACTGCCAGCAGTGGAATTAAAATCCATGTCTGTAGATAGACTGGATCCTAAATCCAGGATACTGGGCAAATTAATAGAATGTAGTTTATGCAGTCACAGTTGTCATTTTTTTAAAAAGGAGAAGTAGGGAAGCATTAAACATTCTCCCCAATAGCAAAACAATACCGGCACCTTCAAATCCAAAAAGAGCCCAGCAGTAAAAATACAGCAAACACGATGGAGGCAGCTCCCACAGATTAGATGGATCACCAGTCTGAGAAAAGGAACAAAAGAGAGCGCCTCCATAGTGTAAAAATGTTATTTAATAGTAAAAACACGCAGCTCTAAGGCTGTACTTACAACAGTTCGGTAGAATAAAAACCAGTAGACTAAGGTGAGATTAACTTTTATTAGTTTCAATGCATTTTGTTGGCTGGGACAATTCCCATTATGGTTGGTTTCCATCCAGCTCTATTGGTGAACACTAACATCTACCAGCCAAAAGACGAATGTATGTGAATTGGTTTATGGCTTTTGGATATGTGCAATATATTAATTTATTTTATACACTAATAATTTTCATAAGATGAATTTCGCATCACAAGTCACTTGTTGTAATCACTTGAATATATTACATCCATTTTTATAGTAATCACTTGAAGTAATAACTCGAATATATTACATCCATTTTTCTATAATAATTACTTTGAGACAGTAGGGGTTTCCGTTCGAAATTAGTTTAAATGCTGGGTTTATATCCCCTTTTTTCAAATAGATACATTGTTCCACCATTTTCATAGGTGAGTGTGGAGGCCATCTAGAGACAGCTTTAGTGTTTTTATTTTCCAAGCTTCTAAAGTAGCTAGTGCATAAATACACAGTTTCAACTATTTAAGTTTTGTTGTATGAATTGTTTGTATCCTTTGTGCAGCTGCTTTTGTCAGTGTGCGGCATATAGATCATCCTGGTCGAGAACTGGGAAATGACTCCTTATAGTTTTTTAACCATCAGTTAATTTTGGTCATACTATACAAACTATAGGGGTACATCGTGTTTATTACTTTCCTTTAAGCTCAAAACCGAATTCCCTGCTTGGCTGCCGGTTTAATATGTCAGTCTGTCATTTATTGAGTAACTCCTACGGGGAATATGACGAATATTTAAAAGTAATCGTTACTGTCAGTCTGAAATACACTCGTTTCTGAGCTGATCTATGTCAATTAGGCGGTTATCACATCCACATTATGTCCATTCCATGTATGACATTATATTGTGGATTAGCTCGAGCTGAATAGTAATTAGAGATCACTTGCAGCTGCCTTCTCTAGATGAGCCTCCAACACCGACTGGATGATTGGACTAAAAATCCCATGTAACCCTCTCCGTCAAAGATTTAAGGCAGGATACAGGGGGTGTTCATTCATTGGTTCTGATGAAGGGGGCGTGCCCCAGAAACCCTTAAACCATTTATCAATACAGGGATCGAGGTTACTGGTGTTTTACTTCCCTCCAGATTCTCCCTGCCAGGGGTTCCGTCCTCTCACCTTATTCTACTGGTTTTTATTCTACCGAACTGTTTTAAGTACAGCCTTAGAGCTGCGTTTTTACTATTGCATAAAAGTTTTACACTATGGAGGCGCTCTCTTTTGTTCCTATTCTCCCCAATACTCAGAACAGGTATGGGACACTGCAGCTGCCCACACTGGCTCTAAAACCGAGCTAACTGATCAGTCAGCTCTTGGTCTCTGCTCCCAGAGGAGAGCAATAACTGTCAGTCACTGTCCTCCACAGGGATCCCACCCTCCCCTCTCTGCTTCTCCTGCACTTGGCTGGAGCTACAGGCCAGGGAGAGGGCGTGCGGGAACAGCTAGATCCGGCTCTCAGCCACATGAAGATAGGCAAAGCCAGCTGTCAGGCAGCAGGGTGGATTCTGACAATATCGATGGGACTCTTGATTGCAGCACGCCTGTGCAATGTCAACTGACAGCGAGCATAAGCTGGATATTTGCAGACTGTGGGTGCCACATGTACTCTTGTGACCCAAAAGATAAGTAAAGACAAAAAAAGGTTTGTCTTTACTTCTCCCTTAACTACTTGCCGTCCATTTATTGTAATGGAGCAGAGCTGAGGGCGGGTTGCCGTACATAAACAGGTTTTTTTCCCCCTGCACAAGCAGGAAATAGTGAACGCAATGTCCACTGGACAGTGCAATTACAAAACAAAGATACAGAGCCAATGAGACCATGTGATCACTAAATGTAAACAAATGCAAACGATCAATAAGTGTAAAGAATGACTGCGGTTTGCAGCTTTCTTCCCCTGTTCGCTTACATGCTGTTTGAATGTGAGGAGAGGGAGAGTGCACCACAGCATTACCGGTACAGTGTCAGTAGGTACTGTTACAGCCACAACCAGTGTTCTGATTGCCAAAAGTATGAGTACGGTGTCAGCAAGTAGCATTACAGCCCTAACCAGTGTTTTGATTACCAGAAGTACCAGTACCAGCAGTAACTTTCCACCACAACTAGCATCCTGATTGCCAGAAATACCAGAACTCCATAAAAAGGTAGTCAGAAAAACAGATGCACAATTTTAAACCTCAAGGTGCTCCTTGGGGTTCGGGCCCCTCTAGGCAGCAAAAAAAGTCTCACATATGCAATATCCACATACTTAGGAGGAGTAACAGAATAGGAGGAATTCATGAAAACTGGAGCAGATGCCCATAGTAACCAATCAGCTTCTCACTTCAGTCTGTTCAGTTAAGATTTGAAAATGAAAGAGAAGCCGATTGGTTGCCATGCACAGCTGCTCCAGATTTGATAAATTCTGCTCACTGTGTTTTGGGGTATAATTCTAAGTGTGGCCATGCTGTGTTTTAGAAATCTCCTATTAACTGACAATTTTTTGTAAAACATTTTCTGAAAACTTGCACACTTGATCAAATTTTTAAAAGACTAACCATGCATCTTATCAAATTCATTGGGGTATCTGCTTTCTAAAATGGGTTGTTGGCGTTTGTAGACTGCTGCAGTGAATCAGCATGGGGGGACCTGATAGAGAACTTTCTGCTTCAGGCCCCTCCTCTGCTGATTGACAACAGGCAGTGGTCAGATGCAATAGCCAGCCTGCTATTGCAATTTGAAATATCCAATAGCAGGCTGGCTATGGCTCCCAGCTTTAAAATACAAAAAAAGTTTACAAAAATAAAACAATTAAATTAAAAAAGACAAAAAAAAGAAAAAGTTCAATAAAAATAAAAAATGCAAACCGATAAAAAAAACACGTTTATAAAATAAAATTGCTGTGTCATTTTAAATAAAACAATTTTTAAATTATATTATAATCTTCTGAACAACAGAAACAGACAGCAAAAGAACAGTGACCCTTCCCTATGCTATCCAAAACGAAAAAAAAAATTTTGGCTGGAGTTACACTTAAAAAATGTACCCGTTCCGACTTTCAAATTCAACTTAAGTACAAACCTAAAGTCCCTATCTGGAATTTAACCCGGGGACTGCCTGTACATATGTTTGTTTTTTTACCAAAGAAATGTAGCAGAATACATTTTGGCCTAAATGTATGAAGAAAGTTTATATATTTGCAATGTTTCGTAATATAACGTAGGGAAAACAAACTTTTCTGTACTTTATATTTTATATAGTAGAAAATAAAAAGCCCAGTGGTGATTCAATACCACCAAAAGAAAGTTCTATCTGTCACAAAAAATGCTACATTAATTTGGGTATAGTGTTGCATGATTGCATAAAAGTACCTCAGAGATACTGAAAAATAGCCTGGACAGGAAGGGTGTTTAACACCCTGGCCATCAAGTGGTTAAGGTACGTTTTAATGCATTAACTTAAAAAAATATTGTATGTATTAATAAAAAATACAACAAACATTGTTAAATAAACTGAGTGGTCTTTTTTCAACCCAAAATTGTTCCCATTGCTTTCACAGTTGTTTCACATGATTATTTTAAAACTGGGACTTCAGGATAAGTAAATATTGTTTAAAAAACAAGAGGAATGTTGATTCTTACTGAAATCTTGGCATGGTTCATGTATTCCTTACAGAAGTAAATCAGTATGAAACTCTGTCTCTGCACAGGAGTTTCCTGTAAGAAAGACTAGTCACTGCTGCTCTCTCTTTGTGCAGGATGACTGTCTTGTATTAGCCACCCTACTGTAGTTAAGGTAATACCTGGGTTTACAAAGGAATATGGTGCACACAAAATAGATTTATATCCTTTGTGGATATTGAGGAATATATTTAAATGAAGGCTTTGGGGACCAGCGTTTAGCTTTAACACATTATCTCACCATAATTATATGCATTCTAATGAGGACAACCTATAGTATAACAATGCCAATTTTTGCTTCCTGATTTTAATGTTATGGTCATGATACAGCATGACTGGAAAGAAAGACAGTACTAAACAATATAAAGAAATGTCATGTTTTGTCAATGTGAAATGTATCCAGATCTCTTCAGTTAGCACTTCTTTAGTTTCTTAGGCATTTCCATTATAGTTGAACTATAAACATGAACAGCAATTACCTGCTCCTGAATCTTAATCTCCTGGTAGTCTCTACAAGTGGCCGGAGAGGACACATCAGACAGGGAAGTAAATTTTGCAGAGTTGCAGCCTTCTTCATTGGTGCAAGCAGTGGGAGGATTGAATGAGTAACACTGCTCAAAGTCAGCTTTTACTGTGATTACATGCTTACACTTATTGCACATAAAGTCCTGCTCATACTCTAGAACTTTCACTAGACTGCTGCGAATAACTGTGCCGGTGATGGACAAGAAATGACCCACATCTATCGCACGTGGAATATGCTCTCTGGTTAACTCGGGACACACCGGCAAACCTGTATGCACATAAGGAAAGGGTGTCAACACAAAAAGACAAGAATTCTGATGCAATTGCTCATATAAAAAATACCATACAGCCTGTATAAGACTGCAGGTTGAAAAAGGGCACTTGTCCATCGAGTTCAAACTATAGAGATATGACTGCTGACCTCTTAATGAAATCCTAGTTGTCTGGTTACTATGCTGAGCCACTGCCTTCAATATTTTCATAATCAAATGACCAAATACAAGAATCTAGATCAGTTAGGGATGCACCGATACAGACACTAGTATCGATATCGGTGCCGATACCGAGTATTTGGGCGAGTACACGTACTCGCCCAAATGCTCCGATGCCTAGCACGAGTACTTCCTGTATCAGGAAGCCGGGCAGTGCATCATTACACGCTGCCCGGTTTCCGGGAAGCGGCTCCATGCTCTCGTCACTTGTGATGAGAGAGCATGTAGTAGACTTCCCGGCCAATCAGCAAGCCGGGCAGCGTGTAATGACGCGCTGCCCGGCTTCCTGATTGGTCGGGAAGCTGGCCAATCAAGAGGCCGGGTGCCGTGTAATGACGCAGCACCCGGCATTCCGATTGGCCGGGAAGCTGGCTTCATGCTTCCTCGGGCAGCGTGTAAAGACTCCGTCAGTCTTTACACGCTGCCCGGCTTCCTGGCTAATCCGGAAGCCAGGTGGCGAGTTATTACACGCCACCTGGCTTCCTGAATGGGACTTTTGGTAATTGGTATCGGCGAGTACCGGAAAAAAATTAATCGTTACTCTTACTTACCAAAATATCAGTATCGGTGCATCCCTAAGATCAGTACAATAGTTCTTATATGCATACTTGTTCTGGGGTAGTGACTCGACATACAGAGGCCAGAAGGTCAGTATAAATTGACAAATTACTAGCCTGACAAGACATTGGCTACATTTTCTTATCTCCCAGTAACAGCTCTTCCTTCTGCAGCGCCTGGGAGATAAGAAAATGTCAATAAATTCACCAAACATATATTTGCTTAAGAAAAATGTATACAGAGTGGCATGATCCCGAATATACCTAAAAAAAATTGATTTGGGGTTTACATACAATTTAATTCTGTAGCACTGCTACTAGATCAGCATTAAAGCAGACCTATATTCCAAAAATCAAAGCCAGTAGAGCAATTCTGCTTCTTTTCTAGTTCTGGATAAGAATTAGAACCCCCATCAGGTTTTTACTGCTATCCAGGACTCCCAAGAGGTTTACCTTCACTTCCTATTCTGCTGACAATGATTTCACCAGACAGAAAGTATGGGGAAATCTGCAACAGGGAAATCTGACAGGAGTTCTAGCCCTCCCATACTCTATACTAGAGGTGCACCGAAATGTAAGTTTTAAAACCGAAACGAAACCGAAATAACAAAAATTGTCAGGCCAAAAATCGAAAATGTTTTTTACTTTAATTTTTTCAAATATTTTATTTATTGTTTATAAACTTATTTTTTTAATATTTTTATTTATTAATTATTTTTATTTTTTACATTACTTTTAGGGGCTTCGAGGAAATATTAGTGGTCAAAACAGACCCCTGATATTTCCCTTTTAAAATAGAAAAAGAGATTGAGAACACAGTCCTCTATGTCCCCTGTTATCAATGAATAGGAATCCCTTTATGAGTGTTCCTGTTCATTGAACATGAGGGCATGGTATGTTTACTATAACTACAACTATGAATGAACAGGAGGGGGATGTAGATCACTCCCATTCTTTCATAATTGAGGATTTGGTTAACATGTCCTCAATTATGTACAAACACTCAGCGATCGCTGAGTGTGTACCTTGCTCTATTCTCTCTGACACGCTGTCACAGGAGGCTGGTGGAGCGGTGTAGGGAGGAGAGCCCAGCCTCCTACGACAGCGCTGTCTTCGCCCCCACACCGCTCTGCCGGACTGTGATAGGAGGCTGAGCGATGTGGGAGGAGAGGACGGCCGCTCACTGCACTCTCCTCCCGCAGCGCTCGGCCATCACAGTTTCTCTCCTCCCCGTTGGGACACAGAGCAGCGCCCATCGGGAAGGAAAGAAATCAGGGATGCGCCGATGTATCGGCAGGAAAATGGCATTTTCGGCATTATGCCAAAAGTGCCATTTTCCGCCCATATGTTTCGGCAGCCGACATATCGGTGCATCCCTACTCTATGCTGCATGTTGCTGCTGCAGAGTTACCCTCACTTCCTGTCTGTAAAACTGTCAGCAGGAAAGGAAGTGGGGGGTATATCTCTCTAACGGAGCTCTGCAAAAGACGTAAAAAGCTGACAGGGCTTCTAACCCCCCCCCCCCATGCCTCCCTCTGATGGCCAGTCAGACACACTTCCCTCAGAACTTATCATATGATCTTACAATTGGGCTTGGAGAACTAATGTGCAGACAGAAGAGGCCAATCAACGTTTCTAGCTGGATAGTAATCTTCCTCCTTGGGAAAGACCACATCATCAATGTCTTCATTTAAAAAATACGCTATCAACCAAACATATCAACAAAAGAAACGTGTATAAAAGAATAAAAGTGTCAATCAAACCACTTGGATGATAGTTTTGGGACATGGAGCTTGGCAGGGTGACAGAGGCACAGTGGAGTTTAAAGCCCAGTGGAAGTCTAGACAACTGCTTTACACATTGTTTTTAATGTTGGAAGATATGAGTAGTTTTTAATAAACTTTTACATTTCGCTCAAATCGCTGTACACTATGGTCTACAGATTTCTTTTACTTATGCTGAATACGTAGAGTGGTTGTCATTTTGGGTCCCTGGAACAACATATGCAGTAATAACTGGCTGCCTCAGAAGGGAGAAAGAAGATTATAATCAGTCGCACAGTGTGGGCCTCCCACCCGATGTTAAAAGGGTACAGCTTCGCTGGACCCATTATTAGGTTGCATCTAAAAGGCGAGAGGCTTTCTGAGACGGGTGTCAGCACTGTGGGTGTTTAACCTCTTGCCGTCCGCCCGTAGTAGAAAAACGGACGGACGGCACTGCTGCATTGGCGGGTTGCCGTCGCCAGACGGCATTTTTTTTCTGCTCGTGCGCGCCCCCTAGCGGGCACGCACGGGCAGAAAAGACCCGTCCAATGCGAACACCCGGTACCGGGTGTTTCACATATAGGCGATCAGCGGGTCCATAGCCCGCCGATCGCATATATGTGCTCGTTTGCGTCCGCGGTTTGGCCTGGATGGGAAGGGGGTTTAACACCGCGGATGTCAACTGGTTAATAGAGGTAGAAGGTATAATTGTGGATCACTATTACACGTTTGCTGTCACTTTTATAAGACTGTGTTTATTTGGAATATGTTCTGGATCACTGTTACATACGAGTTTGTTACCACGTGTGAAAACACTTATTATTGGGCAATACAATGTACAAAAGATACCCAAGTGGTTTGTTTGACACTTTTATACACTTTTTTTTAAATTATAAGTTTGGATGATCCCGTATTGTTTTTTTAAGCGTGGCACATGATTTTTATTTTTGAATATTTGAAGGGATATTACAGTATTCCCTTAGAGTGTTGCAGTAGTTAACATATTAAAGCACGTTACTTTGAATATTGGAGCTGTGTTTTTCTACACACATACAGTATAAACAGAGACACAAAACATTTTCTTTGTGCCGTGTTCACACCTTACATGTGCAGTGATGTGCATAAAATGCAGCTTAACAGACATGGTGTGAACAACCCTAAATATTTCAGTAAATGCACCAAAATAGCCTATACCAGCCTACACACCTGTTATTCTTGCATGTAGATTTTGCTTCATGATGAATCCGTCATGTTGCGAGTTCGACTGCATGAGACTCATGGTTGCTCGTCGCAAAGCATTATCAAATATTGGTAAAACCTCATTAGGAAAAGCATTGAAATAGTCTCCGACTTCCATGTTTGTTTCAAAAAGTGTCATAGCATTAACAACTATTGAGTAGTGGGAATCCTCATCATTTTCCATCAGTACATTTACTATATCCTTCTGGTGATGCTGCAGTACATAGGACTCAAACACTTGGCCAATCAGCGCTACTTGTTCAGAATGCAGGTACATGTCTGAAGCCAGTGGGTACTGTAAATTCAGAAGATGTAAAACACACATCAGTGCTTTATTTCCCTGTAACATATGATGGTGCTGCATCAAAAAGGTTTATTTACTAAACTATCAACTTGACAATTATTGATAGAAAAAGAAACAGTTTAAAAGGAAACTTATGTATAAAAATAAAGAAGCTGACTGGCTTTTTGTTTCTGTCACTGATCCGGGCTAAGTATGTAGCCAGCAAAAACTGAACTTCTGCCCTTCAAGCTTTTTTCAGGTCTAGTGGTCCTCACAGGAAAGTGAAGCAGGACCATAACGACATCTGGAGTCAGCACCATTAAAGCCCAACTCCATTATACTGTTTTTATTGGTATACTTAACCATTTCCAGAAATCTTAAAGCTAGTTACATGATGTACTGGGCCCACTTCATTTGCACTCTTCACTTCTCCTAGCGGTGGGTGATCCTCCATAATGATATCAGCCACGCTCTCTGCATAAATATATTGTTAATTGAGGACACTGTGGTGACTGCAGGGAACATGTTGCAGTCGACCCTTATGTCAGCCCACAACGGGTCAGATCTGCCCCCTGACCCTCCCAAGATAACTCCTTCGTAGCAAATATGATGGGTGTAACCCCCCACCTTTTTGTTATTTTTGTAGTCCTCACTCCGGATGCATTGTTGCTCCCTACCTTGCCTACCAGGGTGTAGCCTCTCCTGGTGGATGACCAGGATTCCCTAAATTCACAGAAAGGTGGGTTCCCTTGGTGCAGGAATTCTTATTCCCTGGCATAAAGTACTGGCAAGCTCTAGCGCGTGTGGTAAGTTCACCTGCAGCTGTGTTTTTCCTTCTGGCTTCTTGTCCTCTCTCTGTGCTTGGTCAGGCTTCCCCAGTCAAAGATATTGCTAGGACTCTGGCGGCGGCCACCATTGCCAGGGTCTTGCCTCTAGACGATTCCGTTTCTTTCAAGGCCTGCATGGATCACTGCAGATTCAGATTTGCAGAGAATCGTTTCTGTGGCAGGTGCAGCCTGTGGACCAACAGTGGTGTTGACCTCTTTGGCCAGAGCCATGAAGGTCTGGGTGAACAATATGGAGTCTGCCTTGCGAAGGAGAGTGAGCAGGAGCTTTATTATTGCCTCGCTGGAAGATGTGAACTAGTCATGAGATTTCGTGGCACAATCAGTTACAGCCAGAAGAACATTGTGGTTAACACAGTGGTCAGTGGACACAGCCTCCAAAACAAGCTCAGATGTCCATTCCATTTTAGGGGAAAATGCTTTTTGGGAAGACCTTGGACAAGGCAATCCAGCAGGTCTCTGGCGGGGAAAAAATAAAATAATATAACGGGGTTGATACCTCAGGAGAGGAGGCACCAGCAACAGCCATTACATACCAATGGAAGACCAAGGGAGCAGCACGGGTCACACATCTCAGCACTTTCGGCCTATACAGGCTCTAGATGGGTGGATCATCCTCTGGTAAAAGAGTTTGTGAAGGCCACACAGAAGGTGGCCACCTTGAAAAATACTTTCTCCTAAATGGGACCTTCCTCTGGTCCTGAAAGCTTTGATGTCTGCATCTTTCTTTTCGATCCAATCATGTTTACTTTGGCATGCAAAGGACTGTTTTTTTTGGACAGCTATTGCTTCTGCTAGGCAAGTGTATGATCTCTATGCATGTTTTTTCCCAGTGCCATCTTTTCTACCTATGGTTCCTTCCTTTTTTCACTTAATTTCCAGTGGCATTGATGGTCAAGACTGAGGTTCTTTGGAGTTACTTGGAAAGGACAGAGCTAGGAAGGACAACCTCTTCATCTTCTCGCTAGGGTTCAGGAAAGGAATGCCAACTTAATCTAGGATCCTGACTTCTTAGATCGTGAAGATGATCCAGTTGGCCTATAGCAGTTCACAGTTAGGCTCCACCAGTGGAAATATGACCTCATTCAGCAAGGACAAACGTATTGGCAGACCAGGTGTGCAAAGTGGCAAGATGGGCAACTCCCAACACATTTGTCATTACAGATGTGAATGTTCTTTGGAGCAATTCAAACTCCTTTGCTTCTTCTGTTTTTTTTTCCTCTGCATGTGCTCAATTAGCCTTTTTTTTGTTTTTTGCAACTTTTGTGGGGTATGCGGTTTTATTTTCCCCACCATTTGTTGGCTACGTCCCATAGTGGGCAATTGTTATCATTTCTTCTAGGGGCCTATTTGCATTAAAAAATTAGGCTTTAAAACACAGGGAAAATGATAACAGAAATAATTGAGTTGTCATTTCACACTTGCTTTTTTAGGTTAAATTTTCTGGGGTTGTCATCCTGATCCCAAATTTACTAGCATGTCACGAAACAAACTCACATACTGAATGCTGATTTCAGATCAATGGCTCTTTTGGTGAGGCCAGAATCAGTATGATGGCCCCAGAGTGTGTACCAATAAAAAGTGATACCAAGTAAACAGTAAAACCGAAATAGCTAGATATCTAGCAAACACTGCAACTATGGGAGAAAAATCAGTAAATTCAAACAATTTACCTTTATATGAATGCAGACAAACTCTCGCGATCATCTCACAAGATACTGGGAATTGAGATTGTACATCCTGAAGTCTGTGCTGTGTAAATTCCTCACTCTCTTGATTCCTGTATTACTAATCACATCTTCTAAGGCATGTTTAAATCTGACTGGTGCCTGCAAAAAAAAAAACATAATCAAAACTGAAGTTTTTCTTTACAACAGACTTTCCGCGTGTTAGACAGATAAAACCCTGCTGAGGGTAGGTTTGTGAATTCCTCTGCTGCATTGAAAACAGGAGTTCTCAGACCACAATTGCCAACAAAAGGGTGCTTTTGGTCGACATTTGTATGTTGTGTTCCCTTATGTTAAATGTGAGGATACCAGCAGTGGCAGCCCCTATATTTCTGCCATCCCTTTACAAACACACGTATCTTTGGATAGTGTCACTGGACACAAATGTTGAACTGCTCAAAGCAGGATATGTACTTTGCCAAAAGTAAGGCTGTAACATTTCCCTTTTAAATGGACACACACTTTTGTTTACACAGTTAAAATGGAAGTAAAGACTAAAAAAAAAAATGCTAGAAAATAAAGTTGTTGGATGCAGGAAGTCTTTGTATGTCTCGTCTGCCAATAAACTCCTTTCCCCTACTGCTAGCATTTTTATTTTGTGTACACTGTTTGTGGTGCATGCACACAGTGCAGTGTACTCTCCTTTTCCCACTCTTGGCATATGTAAAATGGATATATTACCAGTGTAATGAAAATCCAGCATGTATATGCAGAAGTTACATCACCAATGGTTGAAAAAAGGACACATTGGATGCAGACATGTCGGAGAACGGCGGCAGTTATGGGGAACATAGATCTGTTATAGGAGGGCAAACTAGGGGTAAACGTTCCACAATCAGCAAGTTTTGCACAATATGGCAAGCGCTACAGCAGCAACCCCTTTTCAGTTCTGATTTAAAGTGACTCTGTCTCAAGGGAAGTAGTTGCCTGACTAGAGGGCGGTATTCACAAATTCTTTAAATATTGATATTGGTTAAATTTACCAATAATAGACACTGTGCAGATTTCAGCTGATTCTTGAGGAACCAGCCAAAATTCGCTCAGTAGGTGCCACTGTCTGGCCGGCATACCTTGATCAGCTGATCAAAAGGAGCTAGTCAGAAAATCTGTGTTGGAACAGAGCCGGCAGCCAATGAGCTGCCGACTCTGTTCATGTATTCAGCAGATATAGGTCTCCACCCCCCCTGCAGTCAACCCCCAAACCTCCTCCTGCCCCATTCATCTGCCGTCAGCTAGATTCCGCTGCCGGCAGCTGAATGTAAACAGCAGGCAGTGGGGAAGCAATAAGCAGTCTGCTATTGGCTATTAAAAATTGCAATAGCAGGCTGGCTATTGCACCTGCCCACTGCCTGCTGTCAATCAGCAGAGGAGTAGACCAAATGGAGAACCAATATGAGGCGACTGCTTGCTGTTTAACTTCAGTATCGGTTCAGAAAAATCCATACCGCTCAATCCCTAACTCTGACAGCATTAAGCCCTCGTTCACACCTGAACGTTTTGTAGCGCGTTCTACGCTCGACGAACGCTCTACAAAAAACGCTCAAATATATAAATCCCATTGTATTCAATGATCTCGTTCCCACCTTGGTGTATTTCCGCCCGTCCCTAACGCGCTACAAAACGGCCCACGCCTGAAAAGGTACATGTACTACTTTGGGCCGTTTTGTTGCGCGTTTCCATTGGGATACAGCCAAGTAGCCTTCGGAAACGCGCGTTTGTCGACAGACGCGCATATGCAATACGCCTAGGTGTGAACGAGACCTAAAGCCAAAGCATCAGCATGACCGCCAGGGAACAAGCATTCCCTAAGGTGGAGAAATGGCAGCCCCCATAATTATCCAATGACAAAGTCCCTGTAAAAGGAACTTTGTCACACATCTGTGTGATCAAAATGTGGCAGCCATTCCCTAGCTCACAGGCAATTTTCTAATGGCAGGGGAGTAACTACACTAAAAATAAACAGTGCATGGTAAGCTTTACTGGGTCAGGAACAGTGATGTGCAGGGCCTTGGTGTATACCCAGTTTGCCTGCACAAAACTGTGACTGACACAACCTCCTACCAGCCCAAACAGTTCCAGCAGGGGCATTCGCTGCCTCACAGTTTCATCTCAAATAAGGGGCATTGAATGCCCCTGCCACAATTGACTGGCCTGGTAGGGGGCTGTCACAGTTTTGCATAGGATTTGGTGAACTGGATTTGCACTAAGTGCCCCCACACCTCTCTAGTCAGGACTAATAAGCTCCACCTGAGCCAGAGCACAGCTGCTTCCGTCAGTCTTCTCTGCACACTGTATGGAAAGCTGCCCCTTTCACTGTGTACAGCTGTTTAAAGTGATATTAAAGCCAAAATGTTTTTAAGCTTTTTCAAATGCTGATGAAATCACTTACAAAGAATGCTGCACCTTGATGTTTAAAAGTTTTAGTTT